GAAGCAACCTAGATGCATCCCCGCTTCAGGAGACACAATGGCCATGTATTTGGCCAGATTGAAAAAGAGATGGCAAGGCAAGGCATATCAGGCATCCATCCAATTTCAAAAAGATTCAACAATCCACACGGTTAATTTGGAAACCAGAACGCTTGGTACGTGTACTCTTGTTTGCCTTTTGGAGGCCTGCGGCTAAAAAGCGGCTAGCCAAGGATTTTGTTATAAATTTGTCCGGGTTATGCTCTTTGCTGCCTCCACCCTAGCCCTGCAATCTCCACAGCTTCAGGCTGACAAAATGCCGGTCTGTCGAAGCTGCTCCACGTAAGCTTTGGCCCCAGCCACCGCCTCAGCCTCAATGTTGCCATCGTTGATGTCCTTGGAGGCCCACAGCTTACTGCAAAAGGTCCAGAAGTAATCCTGCAGACACGCTCTGGTCATGACACGTTTCAGTGATGAAACCTTCAGGATACTTTTGTAGTTTGACCGAGTATCACTAGCACTAGCATGTTGCATATTGCTTTGCACCGGTCCCTTTGCAACCCCTTTACAAACCAACCACACGCAACAATGTCAGCCCTGAGCTTTCGCACTAACTACCCAATGATCAATTGTTCATTGATCAGTTGTTTCAACATGGTGGGAGTTAAGTGCAGTGACTGGGATCGGTCCATACTAATGCAACATGGTTTTCCAACATAATAGGCAATTGTATGCATGGGCAATAGCTATAATAGGTGGCATGCACAGGGCAGCACGTTTTGTATATCATGCCTGCATACTGATTGTTATTTAGCAGTTATATACACACCGTGTGAAAATGACAGAGGCCGTTAAAGTGTGAAGCGTGGCCAAGAATGCTGTGCAAATGACAGGCGCCATTGAATAGTGATACGTGGCCAAGAAAAGCTGTGCAAATGACAGGGACCGTTCAATTGTGAAGTGTGGTCAAGAAAACTACTGCCAAGTTCAAGGTAGTCCTCGTGAGCACTGTAGGCCACACTGTAGGCCACCAATTGCGGTTTCACATGGTGGTGAAACGCAGCCCGCTTCGCATCCCATCGCTTTTGGCCAAAGCAAGTGGAGGGGCGCTTGCGCTTCGCGAAGCATTTGTGCTTGGCACCATCGCCCTTGTCCTGATCCGTCTCCTTGGGCTTCTCCATCAAGTCCTCCTGATTCTTACTCTGCCTCTTGCAGCGGCCAGGCTTCACAGCCTCACTCTTGTTCTCGGACTTCTCACCCTTTGGGGCCCGACAGCGAGCAACTTTCGCTGTAGAAGGTGGGCTTTCTTCATGTGCAGCCGCATCAGCAGGCTTCCCGATCTCATGCCCAAGACCTGCAGGCGGGACGGAAGCGGATGCTTGCTCAGGACCTTCGTCGGCAGCTTCGTCAAATTTCTCCAGCAAAGACTTGGTTTGCCGCGCACGCTTCACCTTGAGCTTTGGCGAAGCCTTTGCCTTTGCAGACTTTCTCTGCTTGCCCTTTGGCGAAGCCTTGGGCTTTGCCTGGCCTTTTGCCTTGGCCTTCGCCTTGCCCCTCGGCATCTTTGCAGGCTTTTGCCCATCTTCGCACTCACCTCCATCAGCCGAAGCCCTCTTCAGCCCCAACTGCATTCGACGCAGGACCTTGGCAACAAAGTCCGGGTTCTCTCAACCCATGTGCAAAGAAGCTGATCAAAAATGCTGGTCAAACCACAAGTCTTTGAGGAGCTCGAAGCATTTTTTAGTTTGGCACCAGAAAAACATTGCCACCAATGACACCAAAGTGGTGTAAACCAATATCATATAAATGCAGAAGAAGTACAGGGGGCTCTACGCCCTCCAAATTTGGCTCCTCTGGGATCGGTTCATTGAAGCGGTCGGCCAAGGACTCAAACTCACCAGCTTGAAGAGGAAAGGTGTCCATGTTATCTGACCCAAAGGGAAGACTGTCCTGGACCAGAATGGGCTCTGCAGCATTCAATGACTCGAAAGCCTTCCTGGGGTTGATCCCCACAGCATGCTCAGAAAAATGTGTCTTGAAGAATCTAGCAAAAACATCAACAGAAGAAAGGCATCTTTCATTCTCAACCCAGGCGTCTTAGATGCTTGGCGTCGGCGTAGATGGACTAGCTCAGCTTCCAGCTTCGCTATCTCCTTCTGCGCATCGACATAAATGTCAATTCCACGCTGATGAGGATCCACGCTGCTGGAAGCCGAGGCACAAGTTGAAGGCTCCACTACACTCACGGCTGCTAGAGCAGGAGCAGGGTCAACATGCTCTTCACCATTTTCTGCCCCCTCACAAGGTTGCCCTTGGTTGACACCAACCTTCACGCTCTCACATGCGTGAGGAGCACTTGATGACTTGTTGGAGCTTTCATACACTGCAGTCATGTGATCAGCCGCCACGCTCGAGTCCTGAGCCATGAGGAAAGCCTGGCTGTATGCTGCTTCCTCCGCATCCAAGCTGGCAATAGCAGCATCAGCTTCCATGAGACATCTCTCAGCTTCGGAAGGGGTAAAACCAGCAATGGCCTCAGTGGAAGCAGGAATGGCCATTTCATCCTCAGAGATTGAAATGGCTTTAGAGCACTCATCCACATTTCCATCCTCCAAAGCCAAAGAAGCTGCATCCTCACCAGCGCCTTCAGAGTCATCATCATCTTCCAGCTCTGCGTCGACGCCATCCTCCATGGCTGGCTGTGATTCAAGTTCATTAGGATCCTGGCCAGTGGGTCAGGAAAGGGCATTTTCGATTTCACCTGATACCAATAGTTTGCTGGAAAGCATGAAGAAAACAGCCCCTTTCTCAAAAAAATACAGCAAGTCCCTATGGACAAATCTCACCACGGCAAATTGGACTCCAGTCCTGCCCAGTCAGAACTGCGATCAAGCGCCGGAAATTTCGAGAACGGGTCAGCTGGCCGCGTGTGCACTTTCTCTTCACCAGTACACAAAACTTTTTGCAAAGCCATGCATCCAGCTTCACCTGGTCTCGGCCAGCTTCGACGCCCACCAGATTGAACAAGTGCTTGATCCTGAGTTTGTTGGATTGATGGGAGATGGCGGGCAGCCATCAAAGGGAACAGTGTGACCTAGAAACATAGCAGTCATGTATGTACACTACATAAGTGCATGCATGCTGCACACATCCAGCTATACAAGCAAGAAATCGATATTATAAGGGGGGCTAAAGAACATTTGCATGCCACAGTCCCAACGTATCTTTCTGGGGAGGTTTGCTCCAAACAAGTTTTATTTCCCAATCGCAACTCAAATTGAATTGAGCTGCTCTGTTTCCAGCTGCGGAATGGCGCACATGCCAATGGCTAGAGTTGCTGGGTCCACCAGCTTCTGAAGCAAAGGAACAAGCACGTCAACATGACTTTCTGCACCACGGATGTTGACATCCAACTTCTTGCCCCCAACCTCATCGAGAAACAACATCCTTTTGTCCCGAATACGCTCCCTGATCTCACGGCACCCTTCCCAATAGACAGCCAGCCCGGCAATGCTGGCATTGGCGGCCATGACAGCAAAGAGGGCAGGAGGATAGCGTTCAAACACTGGTCAAAATCGCTGCGAAAGAATGTGAGAGGTGAGGGCCAAGCAAATCTCAATCCTGATGAACATTGGGGCGAAGCAGGAAATCAAGGAAGACCACACTGCTCAACATTCTGGTTCTACTACAATCTAGAGGGCAGAACGTACCAGACTCAAACATGTGTCCTGAGTAAGCTTTTGCTAACAATGATTGCATGGTGTCCAACAAAGCAATTCATAGGGCCTCATAGGGCAATGTTTGCTAGCCAAAAAAAATTGTCCGAGCTGACCCAAGTCATCCTGGCCCCATCTCCACCAAGGCCCGGACATCGGGCTTGGACTGCGCCCCACATGCTTGCCATGTGGGCAAAAAGAGCGGGAGCGCTGGAAATCACCAACTTGGGTTCTATTTGGCCTGTAGGGATGCCAGAAGCATCAAGTGAAGTGGGCAAAACCCTATTGTTCATTGCCCTGGTTGAGTCATCTCGAATGGATCTCAGATTGATGGCCTAAACATGCTTCCAAGCCATGGATGCTAAACATCGGCGGCCACCTTGCAGGATTCATTGACACCTTTCTGGAGTGAGCACCCGGTCAAGTGGGACCTACTTCAAAAGTACGGCCCTTTTCGAAAAAGACAGGTTTTTAAGATGAAATCCTGCCTTTTTAGAAAGGCATTCCATTTCAGAGGACATCCAGGTCACAGGTATATATATATATATATTTGAAATTATGTAAACATATGTGGCGTTAATGTTTCTCTTGTTTACCAGATTGATACCCCAAGCCGTGAATGAGCAACTCCTGGAGAGCTGGCGTCCTTGTTTGTTCCGATTCCGCCTTGGGAAGCCTCCCCGATGTCCGTGACACACTTGGAACGGTTCCTTTAAAGAAAAGAAACGCGGAAAGAAAGAAACCATAAAACCATCGATATATCTGACGAAGTCTGACGAAGTGGATGTCTGATTTCCTGACGGTCTTAGTTAGGTCCCGAAAGAAAATCTTTCAGTAGGGTCAGCACAATGGCTGTTTCGAGCGGCGGAGAACAAAGCTAAGTATGTCAAGTATGCGTCAAACCACTACAATCTACAAACAGGACCTGGTAGACCACCAACAAAACTGGTTGGTGTTTTCAACCCACTTGAAAAATATGAGTGAGAGGGCCCAATCATCCCCACGGAAGGGTTGAAAATAAAACTATCCGAAACCATCACCGAGAAAAGCTTGTAACGTTGGGTTGGATCCTGAACACCCGGGAGCCAACCAAGGTCTTCAAGGAGAGTTGCTATGGCTGGCCTGACCTCAAGTTCGATTTCGGTGGACGTCAGTCGGCTGAAAGAACCGGACGTAAAGGATACTTGTCTTCCAGGGCCATTCTTGTCCTTTTGTGGAGTGTGCTATGCTTTTCAGTGCATTCACCCTTGAAAGTTGTTGCAAGTAAACCATCCTTCAGACTGAAACACCAAGTGTTTTTCAGTCCTTGAGGCGACTCACTTGATAGACTCTCCCGTCGTTTTCCTCATGGGCTGCTACGCAAAAGGGGCAGCCCATATAGGACTTCCTCGATGAAAGCGGATCGGACAGGACTCGATCGCGGAACGAAGAACGACCAAGAGCAAAAGTTGGGATATAGTGCCTTTTTAGTTGTGAAAGCCAAGGTTTCATCAACATCTTACGGGACTCCTAAGTGGAGGGCACTTCGGCCCACAGATGGCACTTCGGCCCACGGATTTCGCTTGGTTTTTCTATACAACACATGTGGTTTCTACGTGCCCACGCACTCAAAGAGGAGCCCTAATCCGCATGCTTCGCAAACGTCGTGCAACGTCGTGAAACGGCTCCACAGGCCTCAAAAAGAAAAAGGAACGTGTGAGGACAAAGCTTTGGTCAATCAGGTTCCGCGTGATAGGGTGGGTCATGGGTGAGTCCATAGCTGTTGCAGGCCTCCCCCCCAATCTGCACCAATCCGACCACGATCCGCCCAGCCGACCGGATCCGCGGCGCCTTAAAGCGTCTTGCCGCCGAGAGTCTGTGGGTTGCGACCCAGGGGATCTGCACCATAGTCCAGGAGAAGCTCAAAGCTGTTCCCAGGTCCGTAGATGGATTCCTCGGATTTGTTACCCCTCAGGCTACAAATCACTGAAGCGAACAGAACATCCGTAGGATGGATTCCTTGGATGGATCTCTTAGCCTATCTCGTCATTGAGTTACAAAGCCTTAGCCACCTCTTCAAGCCGCTGCAGAACAGTCCACAAAAATCTGCAAAGCCACAAACCTACACCATCACACGACATACCAGGACCACAACGCGTCACCTGGCTAGACCCAAACCACTTACAGTATGTGTTAGTGGATTGAGTGGAGATGACACAACCCCAAGAGGGTGGCTGATCTAGCAAACATCTTGGGGTGCCAGTGCCAGTGCCATCTAATTAGTCTGAAAACCACTGTAAGCTTCCCTTGGACACCCCTCCTTCTCAATGATCCTGGCCTAAGCGCAGGGGGGTGCCCAAACACAGTGCGCGGCCTGTGTGAGGCCGGATCCAAGCTTCCAGCAGAAGGTCCTCCGTGTCCGGATCCAAACCCAGCTCCAAAAGGACATGCAGCTTTTCCGAACTGCTGGGTGCACCCCCCATCTGATTGCGAGCCAACGCCCCGAGCCAGCCAGGATACCGAAGAGCCACCTCGTTGATGTCCTGTGTGAAAAGGCACTGACTGAAACAGCACTGAAACAAGCCAAGTGCTGTTTCTGTTGTTTCTTGGTGGGTTCATCTTCAAGCTGTTGAACCCAAGGCTCTTCATCCAAGAAAAGGTGTTTTCAAACAGGAAAGCATTTTCACAGGGCCTGTAACAATAGGAGTACCGTTTTTGGGACAGGAGTTTGAGAGTCCCAACTATCGAAAGGAGAGCTGACATGACCCTGTGAACAGTCTCCAAAAGCTTGGCACCCAAATGCCACCAGAACATCTCAGAACAAACATCCTCCTAGAATTTCCTAGAATGAGACACTATAAGGTGTCGATCCTGTTCCCTTATAACAAGCTCCTCATTCAAGGGGGATGAACAAACCAAAAAGCTGCTGGCAAAATGGTCAGTGGTCCTCTTCAGGTGGAAAGGCTATCTGACACCGACACCCTCAGGACCCTCAGGGGTGCGCCGTAGTTCCCTTTGAAAAGAAGAAATTCAACCGATGAGCCGTAGGTCCGTCTGAATTCAACAAGACTTCCACTGGATAGGAACCGTTGATCGATCGGACATGGACTTCATCAAAGAGTCGGATCGAATCGACATCTCGGAGGAACCTGCCCAACTTCGTATGATATCGTATGATACTTGGTATGATCATATATATATATATATGCCATAATCGCAAACTTCAAACACTATGCGAATTGGCATGTTTTCTATAGAATCGTTCTATTCACTTCCAACTATGCCACATGTATCATATGATCATATATGATCCATGTGCCTATAGGGCTCCTGGCCTACCTGTTGCAGTGGTTCGGGTGGGTGTATAGCCCCCAAAATAACAATAAACAAACATAATACAGTAGCCATATATGCTTACATTGGGGTGGTTTTGGGGGTCAATGTAGGCATATATGGCAGTCCCATGGAGTGTCTGGGGTAGTAATAATAATTGAAGCAACATAATGGATGTATTTCATGTTCGTCCGAAATCGGGGCAATGCCACGCACGTAATTACCATGCATTTCAGGTAGGGTACTCGTCCATTCACTAACATGGAACCGGAAAACTACCTGTTTCCCGAGGTGGTTGGTCTTCTTCAGCGGCCCATGCCATCCATTTCCACTTCTGTACGTCAGAGGTGCTGATTCCACCTCCCTAAGTGCCACCTTCGTTCGGTCGACGCTTCCGAATACGAGACATGTAGCTGCTCGATCCACTCCTCTATGCGGTGGGCATAGCGAAGGAAGTCCTTGCAGCGTTTGGTCTTCACCAAGCCTTCGATCGCATCCCTCCACGCCTGAGGGACCGAGTTAAGCTGTCCAGAGTCGACCCGAGTTGGAGTTAGCCTCAGAACATGGATACAAGATCGTACAATTGGTACAAGTACCTATTTCCCCAGATAGCGAAGCTATGGGGTTCTTACTTCTGCCTAGCTATCTGGGTCTATGCTGGTGTAATTTTGGTTCGGGTCATGACCCATTTTCGACGGTTTGGTGGATCCGTGGTGAGAAAAAGGTGCGGACAGAATGCGCATGCTTTTAGGTGTAGGTGGCTCCGCGACATTTGGAGGCGCATGTCGGGATGCGGATCTTCGGGAAGCACTGTGAGACATTGAGATTGACACTGTGAGACATTGTATTTCTAGGACCTAGTATCATTGTACTAATCATATAATGTATCTCATCTGAAAGTATGACAAACTTGTCTGTCTAAGCCCCTTCAATAGTGCAGAAAACTGTTGGGAATGAATACGCTTCCCATTCCAGCACAAGCAGTTGACTCCAAAACAAACAGTTGACTCCAAAATGACCCTGATGGAAAATAGGCCAATGCGAAGGCTTTCGGTATGGCCGTGTGCAGCTTGTTGAGTACATGTGGTACTGGGCAAAGCTGACGGTGCTAACAAGAAAGCAAATAGCACTAGCATACAGCAGCCAACCACTATGGGGAGGAACATGGAGACACTATAACAAAATGAGTGCCATCCACTCTGCACGGATCTTCAGGCTAAAGCAACTGGCAGCCAAGGGGCAGGAGGCCTCTTCTTCTTCGCAGGGACCTTTTTCACTGCTGGCTTTCTTCGAACAGCTTTTGTGGTGGTCAGTTTCTTCTTCACTGGAGGCTTCTTCAGAGCAGTGCCTTTCATTGCCGAACCCTTCTTTGCTGTTGCCTTCATTACCGTTGTCTTCATAGCAGTCACCTTCATGGCTGAAACCTTCATGGCAGAAGTCTTCATGACAGTGACTTTCATGGCACAGGGCGCCTTCCTTGCAGGAGATGCCTTCATGGCAGTCGATGTCTTCATGGCTGTCGCCTTGGCCTTTGTCGCCACCGTGGTCGCACCCACCGCGGGTCTTTTCATCACCGCTGCTGCTGCTCGTGTCATCCAGCGTTATGCGCGGTGTTTCCTCGCGGGCGAGAGGCCATGGCTTACCACCCACCCTCAAGTCTGGTCGTTAGCATCCTGTCCAAAAGGGGGACTGATGGGGACTGCATACTGTATAGTAAAGATCTATAATAAATGTATATAAAGAAGTCAATGGATGATTTGAGAATCTCTAGGAGATCCACCATCGTTATATAATACTTTCTTGGTGAATGGCACTTGTCTGACCTGTTTGAGCCATGACTCCTGAGTTCGTACCTAAGCTGTGGAAAGGGACCAGCTGTGCCGCAGCAAAAGGGAGCTAAGCTGAAGTCTTCGACATGACAGGCATGACACCCATGGGGCTCTATATACTCTGCGAGCTTTGCGTGTGAAAAAAACATCTAGCAGCTAGCAGCTTGAGACATGAGAATGCTCCAAAGGCCCGCAAAGCTGTCAAAATCGGTTCAACTTCAGCCTGAGCCCATGTTTCAAGAGAAGCAGCTACCATGCGGTTCCTCAGAATACCAGTTTGCCAAGGCACTTGATCAGACCAGGGCCAACATTGACCTGCAAATGGCCAACATTGGACATGATTGGTTGATTCAACTGAAACATCCTGAAACAACGAATGCACCTCTGGACCTTGGACCCGCCAACCAGAAGGGATCGTCTTAGGATTCCCCTCCTGGGCCATCCTTGGGCCCTTCTGGAGAGCACCGGCAAACAGAAAAAACAGATCCAAGCTCACGAAGGTGTCTCTCTGTCTCTCTCTCTCTCTCTTATGGCCCTTTTCCAGTCTCTCGTGTCTTTTTTGGTGCACTTTTGCAGTGTTTTTTGTTCGCAACAAGAAAGCACATGAAGCCATTTTTTGGACTGAAGTGTGCGGCCGTTTGAGTAACAAGTGTGCGGCCCTTGTAGATGTTCCATGGAAGTGTACCAACATGGTCCTGCAACACCTAAAAGTAGGGATCTGCCTCGCGTAGTGTCCCTGAAAAATCAAGAACATTAACCCTTTCCCACCTCTCCTTGCTTAGTGGGGTGCCCCTAATCCCCCCAAAAACGACAGGGTAGAGGATTGCATGGCACAGAATGCTCAGAATGCCTTCCAACTCGAACCAAAGGTGACGGATCACAGATCCCTCGATCGCACCGGGGCGATCGCATGAGGGTTCAGCTCCGAGAAACAGATTCCGATGATCTCTCATGATCACATTTGGGTGTCTGAAAATTCTAAGATCATGAACATTGGTCAGTGCAAAAAACATATGTCAATTAGTTAGTATATTATATGTGGTGTCAAAAAACCTTCAATTAGTATATGAGTATATGTGGTGTCCATTTCCCTATTGGAGCGATCCAAAGACCAAGGTCAAAAGCAACTGATCTTAGGCTACAAAGGCTAAACAACTCTTACTGTCCCCACCAGAAACAACACATGGCTCCATTGGCCAAAACACACAAAACAAAGAAATCCAACGGATTGGCGTGACGCGTGGATCATGTTTCACCGGATTCCCGGAACTAAGAACCATTGGACACCCGAAAGACCGTCCCAAAACACAGGTCGAGGGTCATGCGCCGTTCCGGCAGTTGCGATCGTGCAGCGTTCCGGTCGGGTCCGGGGGGGATGGGGGTTCGGGCAGCCTGAAGATGGCTCCGCGATGGTCAACACGTGCAGTAGATCACCCGACCTTCAGCACCCACGTCCCCGCGCGCGGACGCCCCCGGAGAAGCGGCGCTTCCGTGAAGGTGGAGCGACTTCAGGGACCCGATTTTCCCAATAGATCTGAGAATGGACTACTCCCTAGGGATCCAGTCGTACCTTCTCAGAAGGAACGACTGGGCCCTCCAAGCCGACATCAGAGTGTCTTCAATCACCTTCTGAGAAGGTACGAATGGATCCCTAGAATACTCAGAGAGGTAGGCTGCAGTTGAAGAGCATGCCCCGAAAACATCCGAAAACCAACCACACCAAAGGGAACACCCAGCTCTTGACCGTGCTTGCTATATGCCAAGTAGTTCTCTGGTAGGCCTCGTAGGGTTGGGCCGTCTTGTTAAACACATGTCCCAGAAAACAACCAAAATGGATGGTGAGTCCCTACCAAAAAGCACTCACTGCTAAAGAATCTATGAACTGCCCAATGTTGTAAAACAAAAACCATGTGGGTCCACTCTTCTACTCACTGAGTTTGCCGGACTTTGCCTCGACATGGATTGCAGGATCAACGTCGAAGAACGGACAGCTCCCTACCCCCGGTTGAAAAACCTTCCCGAGAGCGGTCCGCCAGGCTCGGCTCCTTCCGCAGTACTCATCGGCGCCATTAATGGCTATGGTTTGTTTCGGGTTTGCATGATGCTTTGGTTTGGCGTCCTGTTCTTGTTTAGGGAGTCGGGCGTCCCCCAGGTCCACCCCGGTTTTGCGATCCGCTGCAAAAGGGTCGGTCGAAGTCAGCCAGCGCGAGCGGCTCCGCGTTCCAGAGCCGTGCGGTGCCATCGGCGGAGCCCGTGACCAAGAGCTGCAAGTTGCGGTGCATGGAAAGAGAAGTGAGTCGTCCTCAGCGATTCGGTTCGGACGGTTGCTAGCCAAGCCCTAGGGATCCAGTCGTACCTTCTCAGAAGGTGATTGGAGACACTCTGATGTAGGTTTTGAGGGTCCAAGCACTCCCCTGTTTGTAGGAGAATGGCCTTTCCGAGGGCCAGGACGTTCACCTTCCATGATTGGAGAGAAGGTAGCGAAGTTTGTAAAAAATCCCAAAAGGTTTCTGGGGAGCGAGGCTGCACTCCCTGTTGGGTTGGATAGGGCGCACCAAGAGCCAAGTTGGATAGGGCGCACCGAAGATCCATAAAATGCACCATTTCACTGGGCTGGATGGGAGATCTGTTCATCTGAAGCCATGCTCCCCAGGTAGATCAACCAATAATATTCAGCAGTAGTTGGGGGGTGGTGATGGGTGAGTACGCGTGTATTTGTGAGGAACGATGCGTTGATGTGTGGCATCTTTGGCAATGTCACAATGGAAAAAGGTACACACCAGAGAATCTGTGCAAAGCGGAGTGATTGCACATGATAGTGCACATGATATTCCTGAGAAATTCTGCCAAAAGGAAGTGCACGGCCATGGGGGAATCGTCGTTTCATGAGTCACCTGGCTGGCACTTGCAATCCCTCACTGGCACACCTGTCGTATGTCCGGGGGGTCCCTCAGACCTCCACTCAAACCACCCAATGCACATCTTCAGCTAAGCACTTACTAGCAGCACCTGGCTGGCCAGCCTGCGCCAGGCAATCCAAATGTACTTTCATGTTGGAAAGATGCTCTAAAACTTTAAACAAAACTACAATGCCTCAAAAATTCCCAGGTCTTTTCTTACCAGAAGTTGCCATCACGAAAGGCACTCCAAACGCCCCCAATCACCCCTCTCGCCGCTTTTCCCCGCTTTTCCCCGCCAAGCGTCGCCGATGCCCGGTGAGCACCCGCTTCGGACGCCCCGACGAAGGGCCACTGGTGTGCCAAATGCGGCAGGTGGCATCGCGGGAGCCTGTGGGCCGCTCGGCGCACGGGGTCGACGTGCTCGACGTCAAAGAATACGTCCGGCGCTGTCCAAAAGGGATGTTTGTGGGACAGAAGTGGTGCGGTACTTCTGGCAGTGTTGAGAGATATTGAGATTTGCATCATGCTTGATCGACCGAAACCAACCAATCACAAAGAGCACCGCAAAGACATTCTATAGTATATGTTATCATACAAAATTACTGATATATGTTATATGTGTATATGTATGCAATATAAGTGATATGCAGCTGCAGTAGGTTACTTATATGAGATTTCAATATAGATTTAGTTTCCTCCATCTTGACCTCTCTCTCTCTATAATATTAGCCCTCCCAAAAAAGCCCTCCATGCCATGCCTCTCTTCCCCGTTCGACAGCGCCTGTGACGGCCACCGAACCGTGGAGAAGCACGGCCGAGATGGTGGCCTGGTGGCCCAGCAGGCGGACCTCGGACGGGACGAGCCCAGCGACGCCGGAGACTCGGGCGTTGTGTCAGCGGGGGGTTTGGTCGGTGGGGCCCCCCAGGGCGGTTTCTAGGAGGTTCGGCAGGTGTCTTTGGAGATGGGGAAGCTCGAAGAGTTAGGGAAAATTTAGGGGTCCAATGAGTTTAGAGTCCGTTGAGAGAGCCTGTGGCTGGGAAGTGTGGAGGAGCACCAGAACGGTGCCTCTCGGGCTCCTGTCCAGCCTCCTTAGAAAGGTAGGGACACTTCCCCTGGCACTCAAACCAACGCAACAGAAGCAGTTGGAGCCGGGAAAAAGCGACTCAATCCCAAACAATCCCAGGTATGACATGTAAAGAGGCAACTTCCTGCAAATCTTTCTGCCAAGCTAATTCCGACAAGCACTGGAGATGAGAGACGTCATTGAAAGGTTGACTTTAGCTAGCATTGTTTACCGATAGAGTGATTTGAGAGGTCGATGTAGGAGGTCTTTTGCCGATCCCATGGATTCATCTCTCTTCGCCCAGCTGCTGCATCCGAAGACGGCGAGTCCGTCCTTAAAAACCACCCAAGCGCTGTCTGACAGCATGGACGACATCTGTGAACACAACTGTCTGACTCTTGCGGTCGGTTTGAACATGGGCTGGCAGGTCAGTGGGGCTGATTCATCAAGTGGCTCCATCTTACCCCCAAAGAAAGGAAAAGAAACACAAACAAAGCCCGTCCTTCCGATTGAATTGGACTACTGAAAGGAGTCAAACGCAGTCATGCCATGTCATGCCCAATGCCTGACATCAATGTGCTTGGATCGATTGAGATTGCATTGAACGGATTTCAAAACGATACACGCCTACATCAAGGTGCCATGTCACAGGTGAGTCTATAGAGTCGGAGTCTATAGAGTAAGAGTCATCACAACATCAGGAACCACAGCCACACACACACACACTGCATGGCCGTTCTTTGACACCAGGACGCTCTCCGACGCCCCGTTCTCCACCGCGTTTCTCCGTTCACCCAAGGGG